GGTTCGGAACATGCCAAGGACAATGAAACCTTCAGCATCTCCTGGTCGAGTCGTCCTTACCAAACTTCTGGAAGCGAAGACTCAAGTAGCTGGCCCTCTTAAGTGAACCAGTGACAAGCTAAAGGGTGAAGGTTTTTCCGAGGATCGATTCCTTGTGGCCCACGTAAAAGCAAACTGATTCCAACTCGGAAGGCTTTTGCGCAGGATAGCTGGTACACAGGCTGACTAGACGGGTTTAGCTAATGTAAAGATCACAGTGGTTTGTCCTCCTAGAAGACTCTGGTCAGCAACGGTGAGTGCTGTAAGGCTATAGCACAAAACCCATTGAGCTAGGTGTATAAATAGCAGCCCCAGTGGCCTAATGGATAAAGCACTCGTCCGGTCAGCGGGAGATTCGGGTTCGCGTCCCGCCTGAGGTATGACTTCTGCCCATAATGCGAGCATCCTTGTGATTCTGGCTCCAATTCACCAACCTGTAAAGATTGAAATCTCGGCTGTTCTGACTGCGCGCCTGGCAAGAGTTTCCGCTTGTCACTAGACCGGCTCCGCTCGTATGAACCACCTAACAGCATCTGCAGTCCGAAATATGAGCCAGTTTCGCGGGCGTGCCAAACAGCTTGACTGGCGGTAGTCATCTTGTCCTTCAGATGGGAGCAAGATTGTGCTGCAGCAGGCATGATTAAGTCTCCAGCAGGCCATAAATAAAAGTTTAATGGCTTTTTGCGCACACCACCATGTCCTGGCTGACTGGAAGGCTGAAATGTTCTCAAAGTACAGGTGAGGTAAGCAGTATTATTTCCAATTTGAAGGGATTTCCATGAATAGGGAAGTTTCTTGGACAGGCTCAATATCAGCATGCAAGCGCTGTCCCCTAATTGATGCGAATTGCATTAGCAATGCACTCGGACAAGCGATAAAATTCGTTAAAACGAAGCGAGTGTATAGGGGAGGAAAACGATAGAAGAGAATGATAGCCTTCCGGAATAGCCAAAGGATAGTTAAGTCCTACGAGAGGGTAAAAACACTTGATTGAACGCCGGCTTACCCTTTGAATAGGCCAAATTCCATACAAATACCATTATTATTCCGAATAGAATGAAATAGAAATGAAAAGGGTATCGTAGGGGTCACGAGAAAGCCTCGCTTGCGACAGTCACTCCTTGCATTTCATTTGGGATGTTTTTTTATTCCTTTTATTTGATTTATTTATTTTATTTATTTATTTACTTATTCAATCAATGCACGCGATGGTGTGCTTAAAGAAAGTGGAACATCCATGACTAGAAATGGTTGAAGGCACGGTCCGCGATTATCGAAGTTGAAAATATGGCGTCAGGAGGTTAGAGTGGTCCGCGACGAACACCCTTGTACCGGTTTCGCCGGCAAAAATTCGCATGGGAGGGGCGTTGTATAGGCAGCTCAGTGACTCTCCTTTTTTCGCAGTTACTCGCGCCTCCAGACTCCGCCCCTAATGACCACGTTTCAGTCGGAAGATGAGAATTGCAGGAGCGAAAGAAGCATTATAGACGCATACCACTTGTACGATAGTAGAAATCTTATCGGTGAATCAGCTGTGCATATGAGGGCGTAGTTTTGGAGATAGAGTTGATTGGGCACGTACAAACTGGGATCGAAATGGGGTTCTATCTAGGGCAGGTGGCATGTTTTTGTGCTTTTTTGTTCACAGTCGAGTTACTCAACCCCTTGTCGTATATGGAACCCCGGCTAAATTATCACTGAGATAGCGAGTATCGCAAGGGTTCTTCTTTTGAATTGATAGAAATGCAAAGAGAAATGCGCACGGTTCTCAAATGACAATATAAACCGACTCACTTGTACAGGTTAAATGTTTATCGCTTTGTTATGTGCGAAGGTACAGCAGCCGACGGCAGAGGACGACCACCTGCAACCTCGCCACAAATAGCACGCGGGACAGTTCGCAGTTGAGGGCGTGGTACAGCTTATCGCTTCATTCAACGAAAATATACGAAGGCGTTGCTAATGATATATATGAATGCATACGTGCAGGGCATATTGTGCCTAAGTGGGTTGGCGCGAGCCAGCGGGAAGCTCGTCTCAACGCTATCCAATGGAGGCGTGCACAAACAAAAAGGACTTGTTTTTTTTTTTGTAAGTTATTTAGCAGTTTAAATTCGCTTTTTCGTCGTTTTCCGCAGCCGCTGTTTAGACCTGTACTACTTCTGAAGCAAGTCGGCAAATTATCGTGCCCTCATTGACCTTCAAAAACTTAGCAACCGAACTCCCCTTTCGGCCCGCAAAAATGGTGCCTTCTTTCCTCATGAAGAGCAGAATACGCAAGAAAGTTCCGTAAATTGACTTTTCAAAAGAACTCATCTCTCTTGATTAAAGGCCAAACTTTATCCATATTAAATATCACAAAAAAAACGCAAAGGCCTATTCGTCCTTCTGGCTCTCCTGGCCAAGAATGCATGACTGAAATATTGGCAAAGCTAGACGAATCTGGGGAAAAAAGCCTCTCCCCAAAGGTCATAGTTTCGGTTTAGACGCTTGCCGAAAGCAATGGCTGAATTGATGGTCTCTCGGCAGCCGCTTTCGTTTTCAGTGGGATAAAGCGGGGATTTGAGGGGGCACAGTCCGCGAATACCTGACAGTAGAGCCCTTCCTGGTAGAGGGGTGTTACGATGTTCCTGTTGTTCCAGTTCTGCGGCTCGGAATTGTGTGGAGATGTCGTCATAAGTTGAGGAAGCGCCACCCATAGAAGTTGCCTCATCACCTGTGAACGCAAGCATTACACATAATGCTCAATTTTTATGGGACCCAAATTCACCACTTTTTAAATCAAATTCTTCACACTTTTTAGACCGGGCAATTCATCAACCAGATCACGCCAGACACCACTGTGAGGCTGTATCGCCCGATGGCGCACGCCCACTGTGTCAGGCGGACATAGTTTTCAAATTTTGTTCACATATTCTTCTGTGCACTTTTCTGCAGCTTTTTGTTACCCACCTTATACACACTAACTGTTAAGGACTTATAACAATCGAAACATCCTCCCATTTTTCAAAGATTTGTTGCAAATTCCAAATTTTCATAACCTTTCTTGACCTCCTTAATTTCACATCCACTCTTCAACAGAGAAGGTACTCATAGTTGGGTGGGCATGGTTCTGCACACACATTAGCTTCCGCCTCTGACCACGGCCGCATTTCGCGTATCTTTTGGCAGAATTTTGAATATTTTTTCAAATCCACTATCACAATGTGCTCTCTGAGTTTTTCTTCCCAAGTTGACGCCGAAGCCTAACGGAACCAGCTGCCATAAAGCATCCATTTCTAAGTGCATTGTGCAAAAGCCAGATCACGGATCGGCGAATCTGTTCTGTAGGGCGCTCTTGACTCACAGTCGTAGAGTTGAGGTTTGGTCCACCCCGTCACCCGCTCAACAGTTAGCGCGCTCCACAGCGCCCCTCAAAATATGGGAGACTCATGGCGTAGGAGTATCTAAGGATAAAAGGATAAAGTCTTTAGCCGTTAGATCCCCTGTTGTGGGATGCGGCGCGCGTTCTACTTCATTCCGAATCGTTAGTAAGGCTATAGATGGCGATGATGGCCTATACAATCGATTGCGTGGGGCAGCCGATGTACATAGTAAGTGTTTTCGACTCACAGACAGAATGCTTGGCATTACGTCGCGGAGGGTAGAAGGCTTGGTTTGCTGGGCGCGTGTCGACCTGGGAATCGAACCACCCGTACCCACACGTGAGGTAGGTAGCGCAGCTAAAGGCGCTCCGAGGGTTGATCTCGGACCAGCTTCCCCTTAGCTCCATCAGTCAGTTGTTTTTGCCTCCGCAACCGCTACATTGGTGCCAGACTCGCCTTGGACGATAGAAACGCTGACCTGTACAAGCTTCCTCGGCTCTCGCAAGCCATACTATGTGCCCGATAGCAATCAAGGTCCACTACCATCTGTGTGTAAGTGGAATGTGGTGCGCGTCTCAAAGGTGGTCAGTTCGCACTGCTTCATTGGCACTGTTCGACTTGAGGGAGGGGGCATTCTGCACTTTCGCTTGTTTCCGTTTCAAGGTTCAGCTCAACAAGGTCTCATCTGATGAGAGTTGTAGACTCTTATCAAGCGTAAGCGATGAACTTCTGCACAGTAAAAAAGTTAACAAGTGTTCACAGGACACAGGCAGTGTTCGACGGAAACCAACAGCATGCCCCCATCAAGCCAAATTGGGCCACTTTATCCCTAGCTTTATACCCCTCCACCCATTTCTTTCTCAGCAGCCGCCACTCGTTCCTTCTCCGGTCCTCCTCCTGTGCTTGTCTCCAGAAGTGAACGCTATGCTTTACTGAAGAGGGTGTATAACATGGTGTTAACGGGTATTATAAGGAAGAGTGGCTATGTGATTACCGGATTGACCCTCACCGTTAGAGTTTGATTAGTTAAAGGCACGGTCCGCGATCAGGTATAGAAGTTGAAAATATGGCGTCGGGAGGGTAGTGTGGTCCGCGACGAACAACCTTGTACCGGTTTCGCGGCAAAAAATTGTAAGGGAGGGGCGCTATAGCGCAATATAGGTTCAGTGACGCCTCCTTTTCTCCAGTGACTCCGCCTCCAGACTCCGCCTTCAAGGCCCGCCTTTCAGTGAAAAGCAAAATAGGACGAAAAAGCATGAAAATCGTCACTTGTACGGTCGTAGAGTTCTTATCGGGGAATCAGCTGTGCGGATGAGGGCGTAGCGTTGGAGATGGAGTTAATTGGATACAATCTGGGAATGGGGTTCTATCTAGGGCAGTTGGCATGTTTTTTTCTGCTTTTTCTTCACTATCGAGTTACTCAGAACCTTATTGTCTATATGCTGGCCCCTAATCCACTATCTGATGGCTAATTATCGCGAGCTTTGCCTTTAAGATCCTCAGTTGAATATCAAACTGCGAAAATGAAAGTAATGCCGTATTTTTCAGAACGAATCATCCTATCTACGTGCAAAATGGTCCCAATTCGATCTGTTCATGTTACTGATGCACGTGCTGTCGTGTGCATTGCATGGATACGAATTGTTCACCATTTTGGTGCCATCTCTAGGTCTCGTGGTAGGTTTTTGATCACTCCAGCATATATATCACTAGTTTTCTCCGTACATGAAGTTTTTAGTATCGGCCATGGTTTGGAGTGATTCGCTCACCTCGTCCGTTCATCATGCTGCGATTTATCCGTTCACTGGTTCGATTTAAACTGCCCAAGAATCGCATCAAACAAATTATCAAGTGCGTTCGATGGCGTATGAATTATGAGCTCATTAATATCAAAAATTATGCGTTATATTTATATTTTTCTTGTTGTTACGTCACGGGTATTGTCCATGGGGTGAGTAGTAGTCTTGTTCGCTGCGGATGGCTGAGCCAGGTTTGGCGGGTGCTTGTCCGTTCTTCACCAGCTGCTGAAGCAGACAAGCTACATCAATTGGTGTAAAACGAGCTGGCGGCGCGCCAAATCCAGTTGCCCTGACACACTCAGCATCCGCAGCGAAGAAAATGTACCTGATACGAACCAGCGTGATTTCTGGTGAAAGGAATATCGTATTACTCCCTTATGTGCAGTTAACATCGTCGCGATGCGGGGTGTCAGGAGGCATGGCCTGAGCCCGCCCACGACGTCCTCTGCCATTGGTTGTTTTCTTCCTTGACCAATCACAATTGGTAGAAAACGCAGCTGAGGGTGGGCTAATCTCACACCTCCCGACACCGCTCCGTCCGTTTGCGGCGACATCCTGTATCTATCCTATGAGATTTTTAGACGATCTTCTCAGCAAATCCAAAATGTCACAATTTTCTTCATGTTCTTCATGGCGCTATATGCTATTATGGGTGTACAGCTCTTTGGTGAGTCTGAAGTATTAGTACTACCGTATACAGTAGTCCAAGAGATGGTGCTCCAGGTCGCATGGACTATCATTGTGTTCTGAGCGGTACCGATCCGCGTAATGTCACTATCGCCGATCTAGCGATTCCAGACACGATGTGCTCGCAGAAGGGCGAAGGTGGGCGGTTTGCTCTTAGGTAGATAAGTTGATGGAAAAGGGTATTGATCCGAAGTTTCAGGTGGTTATGAATGTCCTGACAATATGGTATGCATGAAACTTGATATGTCCGCTCATGTTGAGGGTTTCTATGGGATGTTCAATGACTTTGGTGAGGTACCCTTATATTCTTTCTGTTCCGAAAACCTTCAAAGTTGGCTAGAAATCAAAATGCTTCTACAGTCTTTCGCTGCGGGCGCTGGGGCGGCGGAGCTTTGGGGGCTGAGTTTGGCACTCCGCCAGCTTGTTTTCAACCACTTCAGGTCAGCTTACGGAATTCGTGGAACAGCCTGGTGTCGCGCGTAACCCATCCTCCTCGAATCGCCCAAACTTCTGAACTGCACTGACCAAGATTATAGCTACAGCCACCATCGCCGTGGGAAAAATGTCTGCAAATTACGATCACCCGAAATTCGCTCCTGTGTGCGTTCCCCTTTTCCATCCTACCTACCATGATCCCAACTGTTCCCAAGCCTGTATCTCTCTCTGTCTGTCTGTCTGTCTGTCTGTCTGTCTGTCTGTCTGTCTGTCTGTCTGTCTGTCTGTCTGTCTGTCTGTCTGTCTGTCTGTCTGTCTGTCTGTCTGTCTGTCTGTCTGTCTGTCTGTCTGTCTGTCTGTCTGTCAGCTGAATACGGCCCCTCCCTGTTTTTTTCAAGCCACGAATCTGGGGCGGAGGATTTCAAGTCCTGCATTAAAGCAGCGGCTCGCTGAAACCTATCGTCGGGGCACGCAATGGCGAAATGTACGCAAGGAAGTTTGTCATTCCATACGACCATCCCTCTACCGCTGCCTCTAATACGGCCCTATTCAACTTTCTCCAAAGTGAAAGCTGGCATAGTTATACTTCGGTAGACCGTATAGGACCCTGAGAGACCTGTGAAAGCAACCAGAGTACATATGTTAAGGCAACCTTTGTGAATCTGAATTCTTTCAGCGTCTTCCTTATTTACTGTGTACATGGCCGCTTCTCAGGAGGGCTGGGTTTATGTCCTGTACGATTGCCTCGATACATTGCCATCCTACGTTGCATTCTTCTACTTCGTCACATTGATCTTCTTCCTCGCTTGGCTTGTTAAAGTGAGTTTCCATCATTGGAGGAACTTTATTCATTTATTATTTATTTATTTATTTATTTCTTATTTGTGAGAGCTCCAATCACGTGAAAAGTCATAGTACTCACCTCTATGATACCAATTCAGAACGTTTTCATTGCTGTGATCACTGAAACATTCGCCGAGATTCGAGTTCAATTCAGTGAGATGTGGCAGAGCAACGCTAGCGCCTCTGAAGACACCTACACTCAGGTTTGACTCCTTTATATTAAAAATTTATTAATAATTAATAATAATATTAATTAAAAAATTTTGAATTTAAAGTATCATCTCTTATCGCAAGCTAATATTTATCACATTCACTTTACATGAGACCTCACTAGATGCCATATTTTGCTACAATACAACTTTCTGCTCGTTGAACTTGACCATTTTCGCTTGAGGTTGAGAAGGCATGACCTCCCGACCTATACCCTCTGGAGTAATCCAGTTTTATGGTTCTCTAAAGTTGTTCTCTCACAACGTAACCCTTGTGGATTTCCAGCGATTGGAGCGTTTTGAAGGTGGATGGCGTTTGGTCGAGATTGATCACTACAGCAGAAGCGCCAGCAGTCCGCAATTCCTACATCTAGTGAGTTTTTCCCGCAGCTCATCTTTCATATATTTCTCCCAATTTGTTCTTTTATTGTCCCATTATGTCATCCCTTGGCTCTCATTAAGCTGGACAGCCAATATTGCACGGTGCATTTCGAAACTTACTCTGTGGATGCAAAATTAGTTCTTACCCTGTTCAGGTAGTAAACAGCACTGCATTTCAAATTGCCATGATGGGTTTGGTACTGCTGAATGCGCTGTTTAATGCCTCATTTGTCTACCGCCATGATAAATCCGATGCTGTTCGTAAAGAAATCTACTATTATATCGAGGTATGATTCTCTCATTTGATTGAA